TATAATCCATTACAATGACTACTTTCCTGTAAGAAATGTAATCCGTAACCTAATTTTAGTATATATTGTAAAAATATACAGGATAACTTTGTGTTAGTTTTGGATTTCTTCAATATGCAATGCAAGTGAATACGTACGTAATCCGTTAATCCTCAAGACTGATAATTGGCAATATTCTGCTGGATGATTTTAATCTGTGTTCCTAGTTTCATTAATAACTCAGAGTTCCTGTTTGTATTTTCTGACAGGCGACAAACAAACGAGGGAAGGAGACGTTTTACACAGCGGAAAAGTTTATCATAGCAACTGGCGAGAGGCCGCGCTACCTCGGCATCCCTGGAGACAAAGAGTACTGCATCACCAGGTGAGAGAGAACTGCATTTTACACCCTTATATTTAAAGGGGGGGGGGGCTATTATTTTATTAATGTTATGCTTTTTAAGGGTTTCCCCCCCAACTCTAGTGTGTTTATATAGGTTTGTGTGCATGTAAATAGTCTGCAAAGGCTACAAATAAAAAAAGTTTCTCTCCCACCATGACATCACTATGTAACACTTCTTATGGCTAGCGCTCCAACACATTGTACGTGATAGTCTAAGGGGCGGGACATCTCTAAGCGGTTGACCAATCACAACAGAGCCGGCCAGCTAACCAATCAGAGCAGCTCTGGTTTCAGACAGAGGGTGAAAAGAGGTGCTGCAGTACAGGCAGTATGAGAAAAATAAAGCATGGAGACATGTCCCAGTAGAGACACTACATACTGATATACACCTGAACATCAGCAGGAGAGGACTCTTTAAAGTAGAGACACTACATACTGATATACACCTGAACATCAGCAGGAGAGGACTCTTTAAAGTAGAGACACTACATACTGATATACACCTGAACATCAGCAGGAGAGGACTCTTTAAAGTAGAGACACTACATACTGATATACACCTGAACATCAGCAGGAGAGGACTCTTTAAAGTAGAGACACTACATACTGATATACACCTGAACATCAGCAGGAGAGGACTCTTTAAAGTAGAGACACTACATACTGATATACACCTGAACATCAGCAGGAGAGGACTCTTTAAAGTAGAGATACTAATATGAGGTGAATCAAGAGGTGTTTTTAAAATGTCTCTCTCCCAATAGTGAGTGTGATCTTTGAAAAGACACACACACACCCTCTAATCCTCTAGATGCTTGTGTCCTCTGCGGGTGGCGTTGTTATCCATTAATCTCCCATCTGTGTAAATGTTATGTAATATTATCCTCAGGTGTCTTCAGTGATAATGCTGCGGTTTAGGCAACCGACCAATCGTCTAATGCTGCTCACTTAGTCCCACAAAACCTTAAACAAAATGGTGTTTGACACGAGACACACCCAGCCTGTGCATGTCTGTATTCTGCATTGTGTTCTGTAGTGTTTTACTTGTGAGGAGGACTATATATTGTATGCAAAGTAAGCCCTTTTAGTTTGATGATTTTAATATCCAAGACACTTACATGTATGAGAAATTCCGGTTGGATATCTTTTGTTTAAGTAAAGAGTCAACCAAACTTTCCTCAGATGTATTTTTGTTGGAGTCCAGCTTATTGCTACTTGTGGATATATACATGTTCGGATTAGACGGAACTACATTATCTGTTTATTGAGCTAAAAAATAACTAATAGGCAGGCTTATGAAAAATGACATTGTCAATGCATGTAGATATACAGTATGATATCTCTTTGCGTAGCAGCTGCTGTATATAGTTGTAAGCCAGTCTTTTATTATACTCGTATCTTTTTATGGGTTTGTGCTCGGACCTCTGACACTAAAGGCGTCATAAAAGGTGTTTGTTTTTATTATTAAACCAACAATATACAGGAAATGACTTTATAGCTGTCAGTGTAGCCAAAGCAGACATTATTACTGGAAATATAAATATGTCCAACTGTCAAATGGCAGCAGCTTGTGTTATACTTGGAAAATATAGGAGCATTTTCAGGTTCATATTTGTATTTTGTGCCTCGACTGTGACATGTCTCCATGCTTGTTCAAAAAGAGAGAAACTCCCTTTGGAGTGAACACAGGGATGTTATCCTTTGCAGACCATTACCATGCACTAAAACCTATATAAGGGAGGCGTGTGGCGCAGTGGATAGAGCCTTGGTGTTCGGATCAGGGGGTCACAGGTTCAAACCCCACTGCAGTCAGCATGTCGTTGTGTCCCTGAGACACTTCACCCCAAATTGCTCCTGTGGGGATTGCCCACAGTACTGAGTATGTAAGTCGCTTTGGATAAAAGCGTCTAACAAGTACCATGTAATGTAAAATGTAATGTAATAACACAGTACATGAAAGGGAAAACCCTATTATATCATCTTCACCAACGCCGAGTTCTTTTAAGTCGAGGCTAAAGACACTACTTTTTACAGCTGCTTACCCAGAAGTCTTTTAACTTGTTTTAGCACCTACCGTATTTACAATGTTGTTTTTAAACTATTCTGTATCTCTTTTATGCATGTTTTTATGAATCTGTTATTCAATTATGTTTATGTATTGTGTTCCTTTCTGTCGTCTTCTCATTAAGTGTTAATGATGGTATGAAGTAGGGGTGGGGCAAATAATCGATACAGCATAGTATCGCGATACTTTGCGTGGTGATATTTTATTATATAAACTATTCATATTGCAAATCCAAATTAGATTGGCTACCATCAAGTTCTGAGTGAGCTAAGAAAATAACTCCATCATCACCTACTTCATATGTAAAGACATGCATAAATACAGCGTTGTGGACACTGGAACCCAATATATCATGCAATCATATATATCACAGTATATCGCATCGCAATACTTGGCATATCGTAGAATCGCAATACTCTCATATCGTGGCTTAAGTATTGCGATAGTATCGTATCGTGGGGAGCCTGGTGATTACCACCCCTAATGTAAAGCAGTTTGAATTGCCTCTGTGTCTGAAAATGTGCTATATAAATACGTACCTTACCTTAATATATATATATATATATATATATATATGTATATATATGTGTATATGTATATATATGTATATGTATATGTATATATATGTATATGTATATGTATATGTATATGTATATATATATATCATCTATCTCTATCATATGTCTATATGTGTATCTCTATTGTCTATCTCATGTGTATCATCTCTCTCTCTATGTGTCTCTCTTTCTCTCTCTCTCTGTCCCTCTCTCTCTCTCTCTCTGTGTCTCTCTGTCTCTCTATCTCTGTCTCTTTGTTCTTCTGTCTCTATCTCTCTGTCTCTCTCTCTTGTATGTCTCTCTCTCTCTCTCTCTCTGCTGTCTCCTCTCTCTTCTGTCTCTCTTGTCTCTCTCTCTCTGTCTCTCTCTGTCTCTCTCTCTCTCTCTCTCTCCCTCTCTCCTCTCTCTCTCTCTCTCCTCTCCTCTCCCTATCTTATCATTATCTAGTTATCATCCTATATATATATCGTACGTGTCAACCTACCTGGTTTTAAACCTGTATCTGATTCTGATTCTCTCTATTCCCCCCCCCCCCCCTTCAGTGACGACCTCTTCTCGTTGCCTCACTGCCCGGGGAAGACCCTGGTGATCGGGGCGTCCTACGTGGCTCTGGAATGCGGGGGTTTCCTGGCCGGTCTGGGTCTGGATGTGACCGTGATGGTGCGGTCCATCCTGCTGAGGGGCTTCGACCAGGAGATGGCCAACAGAGCGGGGGAGCACATGGAGGAGCACGGAGTCAAGTTCCTCCGCAAATATGTCCCTATAAAGGTCAGGGTTCATGTGTACTGTAGTTTAAATAGAAAGATAATGAAAGCATGATTATTTCAATAGGGCTAGCTGCAGTTTGAAATGAAAGCTTATGATTAAAGTAGTTTTACTTTCATTGGTAGCAAAGGAAACTGGTGGTCAGCAGACTTTGAACTAGGGCTGCTCAATTAATTGCAATTACAATTTTGGCTTGCAACGATTATGAAAACAACATAATCGAAATAAAACGATTTTTCAGTTGAATTATACTTAAAGTTCAGGGTAATCAACTATTAAAAACATACTGTTCACATGGTTTTTTCAATAAATGGATGTTTTCAAAGTAAATGGATAATCGTTTTTAATAATCGTGATATCAATTATTGACCCAAATAATCGAGATTATGATTTTTGCCATAATCGAGCAGACCTACTTTGAACTTTGTGATTGTACAGCATCAGATCTATTGTCATACCTTCGTGCATCATAAAAGTGCTCTCTCAGCGAGACAGGACAGAAGCACAAAGGTTAATTTCTGTGTGTGTGTGTGTGTGTCAGGTGGAGGAGCTGGAGGCGGGATCTCCCGGCAGGCTGAAGGTGACGGCCAAGTCCACAGAGAGCGATGAGGTCATCGAGGGAGAGTACAACACAGTACGTACCATCAGTTCATCCTCCACACCTCTTACTGCTGTACAACACTGAGGAAGCTGTGTGTGAGGCTGCTTTCTGGGACTATTGTGTAGGGAATAACTACAAAAACACATTCATTGTCTAATTACATCGATTTTTTTACTGACTTATTCAATTATTTTTAACCTGAATGGTTAATTTTTTAATAATTTACACATTTATGTTTTTAAATGTGTTTCCGAGAGTCAGTTTTAACTTTCGATGGCAGAGCAAAGATGGATATAACTGCTTTCATTTCCCATCAGAAAAACACTGTCCAGAAGCAAGGTGCAGCACTTTGATGATAATACTGTGTACATTTTGCTTCTCCTAAGGGACATTTTAAAAGGATTTAGCTTTGCAGTTGCATATTAAAAGAGTGCAAATACATTAGAATCAGAATCGAGTTTATTGCCATGTACATTTACACACTGACCATTTAAGCCGCCACACAGTGGGTGTTTCTCAATCGCGAGTACGCTTGCTTGGTAGCACATGTCTGCCGAGCATCTTGCTTCAGAAGCGAGGCAAGAATACTTCCTGGCATTTGGAAAACAAAGAGTGGAACAGGCTAGCAAGTGTGCAGGTGGTCATATGAGAGGCCCCGCCTTACATCTTCCGCCACAGATTTGGGGAAATTGGTCCGTGCGCAAAGCATTGTGGGGATTTTAAGACCGCGGGGTCTACACATGTGCAGCCTCGATATTTCTCCAAACGGAGTACGCCGGGCTCGGTAGATTTCCAAGTATGCTGGAGATTGGAACAGTCCTTCGGCGGCACTCGATGACGTAGTATGCTTGAAACAGTGGCTCTGAAGCAGCTTTACTCGCGGTTGAGAAACACCCAGGGTTTCAACTATTTTGCTTCAAGGATATATGTAGGCGTTCTTGTGCAAACACCAAAACAACAACTCTCCTTATATCTCGTTATATCTTAAGGGTTTCCTTCCAACTGTAACCCATCTGTCTGTTCCTCAGGTGTTGATAGCCGTGGGCCGAGACGCCTGCACAGACAAGATCGGCCTGGACAAGACGGGGGTCAAAGTCAACCCCAAGTGAGTTTATTACTTTATATCTCCTTTCCTACACTCCCATTACATGAGGCGGTGTCCTGTGCCTTTAAGACTTTTGGTGGAGTCACGGTGATTCAGCATTTATCGCCGTCCCATGGCTCTCTGCAGGGGGGAGTGAGTGCGTGGGGGGTTTGGTACGGAAAGAGCAGAGGGAGTTCAGAGTATCAGCTGCTTCTGACGGCCGTAACATCTATTTTCCAAGACCTGTCCATGCTAGGGTCATTATGCTGCAAGTTTATTTATATAGCACTTTTCAACACAAGGCAATTCAAAGTGCTTTACAAGAATGAAAGACATTAAGAGCATAAAACAAAGCAAAGATAATAAAACATGAATAACGGGTACATGAATGAAAGTTACAGTGCAGGGTAAGATGTGAATAGTTGTAGTATAGACATCATTAGACTCTGGATGTGATGATGATGACATAAGATGAGATGAGAAGTACTTTAGTGATCCAAATGTGGGAAATGTTTGCGTTGAAAAAACATGGCATTGTGTATTAGAGAAACATCTCAAATGGCATTTAAAAATAGTAGAAAAATGAGACATGTCTTCCCACATAAGAACATTTCATGAAGCCGCTTGTTGATGCATTTTATTATTTATTCCAACATTAGAAGCATGGCAAATGAAGCTTCTATCTTTTAAGGGTTAGTGTTGGTTCTGCACTTTTTTGTGAATGGCTCATTCTGTGAGAGGATTAAGACGGCATGAGGCCGGCTTCAAAGAGCGCTCGGTCACATGGAGCCGGTCTCATGACCCTCGTAGTATCTGACACTCAGTGGGGGAGAATTCATCTTAGTATTACGATTTGTTTCAGAAGTCCTTCATTTGTCCCACAGCGAGGAAATGTACTTTGTTACAGCAAAAGAGGCATTAGCAGGTGAGAAAAGACACATTAGTAATGTAATAAAGGCAAAATAAGTACACAATCACGGCTCAAAAACGCGTACAGTGTAGCAGCTATTTAAAACGATCTAAATGACATAAGTAACATTATTAAAGTATTGAGACCTTCTACAAATGAGATGTTGGGACATTTATAAATAATGTATGTTTTTATATAAGTGATTATTGCACAGTTTAATTGCAAACAAGTGTTTATATTGCACATTGCAGGTTTATTGTACACGTTTTGTGTGGTGGTCTACCAGGGGCCGTGGTAGTTATACAGCCTTTTATTCACAAACAGTTATAAAAGACAAAATGGAGATATCCCAATAAGCTATCGCAAGCTGAAGGATAGGGGACCAGAAGTATTCAAATATATGTTATTAACACCTCTAGAATAGGAGAGTTTATGTGTTTTACAAACTAAAATAACAACATAAAGGAGAACTAAATGGCCCCAAAAAAAACGTCAGTCAAAACACAGGGTCTTAAAAAGTATTAAAAGTTGATAAATCAATTTAGCGAAAATGAAGGCTATTAAAAAGTATTTAACGGCATTTTCCAAGGTATTACATTTTGTAGCTTGTTATCAATAAGTATATAAATGGTCCAAAGAGGTTGTATTCTACAGTCTGCCTGAATGTAATCATTGCGTAGGTGTGTAGTGTGATTCTGTGTAGTTTATTTATGGCATCCCGTTGGATTTGACGTCATCTGAACAGGACATCGCACGCTCACTGCTTGATAGCGCGCGAAGGTCCGTTTACGCCGGTTGTTAAACAACATCGTTATGGGGAAATGCAAGTCTGCGTCCAAATAGTTGGAAGATAAGGAGGGAGGACAATCAATACTGTATATAGTCAATGTGAGGTAAAGTGTGTCGCCAATGTAACCGGTTAGAACTCAAAGTGGCGATGAGGTCTTAAAATGTATGGAAAGGGTCTTAAAAAAAGGTCTTAAAAGGTTTTACATTTGACTTCAGGATTCCTGCATATACCCTGATACATTAGTTTAAAAATAGGTGAACAGATATATCAGGGGTCGGCAACAGGCGGACCGCGATCCGGACCCAGACGCCGACCTATACGGACCCGGACCAATAATCAATACTTTAATAGGGGATTTCAATTTTGACGGGGCGATTCTATTTTAACCGCTGCCGACAGGGGGCGAAAGAGACGAGTGAGCGATACAGGGAGAGAAACACAGAAGAAGAGATGAGAGAGCGGCAGAGAGAAGAGGAGAGGAAAGTGAGTGAAGAGAATAATTAGCGATACAGGGAGAGAAGACTGAGAGGAGAGTGAACAGGCGGGTTAGCGGCAGACAGGGAGAGACAAATAATTACACATGGCGCTCTCCAAGAAGAGGAAAGGACAGTGAGAACAGAGCTTTTAACCCTGAGTGGACTCATTCATGTTCATCCTGCCCACTGGGAGCACAGAACCAGTGTGTCTCATTTGTTCAGAGACCGTGGCGCTCATTAAAAGTGCCAAAACGCCACTATGAGACAAAACACAAAGTGTTTGACCAAACATTCCCTCTCAAGTCAGAACTGAGGTCACAAAAACTAAATATCGTTCCAGCGCAGGCTAACCGAGGCTAACCAATGAGCACCTGCATGTGTGTATGAGAATGGCCCTGACACCATTTCAGCCCAGATTTACAAACTCCTGGCAGGACAAGCTCCAGCTCAATTCTCGCACTGAATTAAAAAAAGTGAGTGAGGGACTGAAATATAAGAGGGAAAGAAAGAGAAACTTTAAAACTGTTCAATTGTTATGATGTGTAAAGACTGATATGTTCTATAATCGTCTGAAACTGTTGAGTCATGATGTGAAACGGTTAACAAAGCTATTTTATTTATTTCTCTATTTTATTTTTAAATGCAGCCAGAGAGGAACATTACACATATCCACAGTATTTACTGTATATCTGTATAGTTCAATGTTCATTGACAATACATATTGTTTATGAATTGTACTTTCTTTATTTGATTGGCAGTCAGTTGTTGATTACATGCAGACGTTGATAAAGCTACAGGCTACTTCAATATATATCACACTAATTCATAAAGCAACTTAGACATTTTGATGTTCCGGACCTTTGCATGGGGAGATTTTCTCTAACTGGACCTCGTTGAATTTTAGTTGAATACCCCTGAGATATATGATTAAAGGAAAGTAATGGTTCAGATATAAAGCGTAAAGCAACTTCCCTAAATCTCCAGCTATTTAGTGTTTTCACGCTTCGATATATTTGGTTAACAACTGCCGCCTTGAGCTCTTTTTAAAAACAGATTCTTTGTTATTTAGCATTGCAAAAAAAAAAAGTAATTTCACCGCAATGACATCCAATGTGAAGTGTGTAATGTTCCTGAACTCTCCGACCCCTTCTCCTCCCACGACCCTTCAGGACGGGAAAGGTCCCGGTGAGCGACGAGGAGCAGACCAACGTTCCTCACATCTACGCCATCGGAGACATCCTGGAGGGGAAGTGGGAGCTGACGCCGGTCGCCATCCAGGCCGGAAGACTGCTGGCAAGACGCCTCTACGGGGGGGGGAAGCTCAAGGTACATCGACTTTAAAGAGACTCTTAGGGTGCGTTCACACCGGACACGATGAGGTTTTTGGGCGCCGAGATTAAAATGTTTGCGCGTTAACCAATCAGCGGTGAAGCTCTCAGCCATTCAGTATGTTGTTACTTTGGCATCATTTTGAAACGTGTATTAACAATTAAATCACGGTAAAATATGTTCATTTGGTTGTAGTTGGTATCTGCCATAGTATCTACATGGAGATAAGCCCCGCCTCCTCGCCAGAGCATCCTCCAAAAGTTAAAGTCAACTTTATTGTCAATCTTTCAGTTTGTGTGTACAGACAGAGATCGAAATACCATTTCCCACGGTCCCAAATATATATAAAAAGATGTATATACATATTTATACACACTCAACAGACACATTTATACATATGCACACATTAAGACATAAATAAAAGCACAACAATCAACAAAATAACAGTCACTTCCTGTTTGAAGGATGCGAGTAGACACAGCTGACAGCCGCGGTGAAACTCGAGCGATTAGAGCGAAGCGTATATTCGCATCGCGTCCGGTGTGAACGCGTGTGTTTTTTTACACACGTACTACACATGACCACCAAAATGTGCCAGAAAGACGTTTTTATTTATTTATTTATTGTGTGTTTTTGTGCAGTGTGATTACATCAACGTCCCGACTACTGTCTTCACCCCGCTGGAGTACGGCTGCTGCGGGCTGTCTGAGGATCGAGCCATCGAGCTCTATGGCCAGGAGAACCTCGAGGTAACGCACACACACACACACACACACACACACACACACAGTCCACTGAATAATGTATTATCGCTCTGGAGGGTGAACCTTGTCACCTACCAGGGTAAAGTGCATTTCCAAGTGATCAAATGTGGAGTTTTACTTCTGTAATTTGAGTTCCCAACATCAAAGCAAGCAGTCGACTTTGCTAGACACAACACGCCAGCTTTAAGACATGATGAACTCTATTTCCTGTTGGTGCCAAGTCTTTGTTTTCATTGGAAAGTGGAAATCATTTCTCCACGCAGTGACAGCGCCTTCATCTATAGCTGACTTTCGCTCATGATGAATTTTGATACTTTCATTTAACCATCATGTCCAAATCAAACCAAAACCACTATTCATGGTTTTTTTGTTGAGGGGAACTATTTTATTGCACTTTTTCATTTGAGTAAACGGTGCTAATTCCATGTTGTGCTACATTCATATATTGTATTGAAATAAGACGATGAACCATAATACCTCCAAACAACGAATGATGATCAGTATAGGTCTCCTTGCTCTTTGGCTTTTGCACCTTTAAGTTTATGACAGCTCAACAAAGGAGAAGCAGGGACATGTAGAGCGCCCCCTGGTGGCTGGATGTTAGGTTGGGAAATGCACGGTTTGGATACATAATCTCTTAAAGGAAAATTCAATTTTGACTGTTTTCGTTACACACTTAATCCCAAAGTGTGTGTGTGTGTGTGTGTGTGTGTGTGTGTGTGTGTGTGTGTGTGTGTGTGTGTGTGTGTGTGTGTGTGTGTGTGTGTGTGTGTGTGTGTGTGTGTGTGTGTGTGTGTGTGTGTGTGTGTGTGTGTGTGTGTGTGTGTGTGTGTGTGTGTGTGTGTGTGTGTGTGTGTGTGTGTGTGTGTGTGTGTGTGTGTGTGTGTGTGTGTGTGTGTGTGTGTGTGTGTGTGTGTGTGTGTGTGTGTGTGTGTGTGTGTGTGTGTGTGTGTGTGTGTGTGTGTGTGTGTGTGTGTGTGTGGTGTGTGTGTGTGTGTGTGTGTGTGTGTGTGTGTGTGTGTGTGTGTGTGTGTGTGTGTGTGTGTGTGTGTGTGTGTGTGTGTGTGTGTGTGTGTGTGTGTGTGTGTGTGTGTGTGTGTGTGTGTGTGTGTGTGTGTGTGTGTGTGTGTGTGTGTGTGTGTGTGTGTGTGTGTGTGTGTGTGTGTGTGTGTGTGTGTGTGTGTGTGTGTGTGTGTGTGTGTGTGTGTGTGTGTGTGTGTGTGTGTCAGAAAATATACGGTGTATAATTACAGTGTTGCAGTAATAGGAGCCCCTCCAGCCTCTGCACCCAGACAGTAGACTGGAGTTTTAGGGAAACAACAAAAGCTATCCTCTTAGTTTTTTTGAAGACATGATAGATTGCAAGTCCTCATAGCGCCTTTTACTGAGCGTCCCTTTTCAATTGATTCTAATGAGAGCAGAGCGCATGCTGTCATATGCAGCGCTTTGTGACTTTTATCTCCATACGTGGATCGTCTTCCTCGCTGTATAGCTGTCAGACTAAGTGTAAAACTCAATCAAACAGTGAGAGCCGGAATCTTACGATGACTGTTCATGGTGTCAAACATTTGTATAGTAGCACAAACGGATAATAAAATCCAAGGGATCGTCGTATAACAGCGGAGATACAATGTCCAGATATCGTCTTCATAGATAACTGCCAGGAAAAGGCGCCATGTGGACACTTTTAATCTGTGCTCACGTGTGTTTCCTTTCAATGCCATCAACCTGCAAAGGACTGCAGATGGAAATGTGCTTCTATGGATACATCTGGCACGTTTACGTAATTGTCCCTTCTTAAATACTTTGTAGCGACAAAACTCCCAATGAGCTGTCGCTAGAGGCTACGGTACTTTGACACGTTTCAATTAAAAGAGTCCGTGCTGAAGTTATAGCTTAACCATGTTTAATCACCCTCATAAACAAACAATAAAGAGAACCAAACGGTCAACGGAAAATGTCCTGTGTCAGACTAATTACTGGCAAACAACAGGTGGACTAAATACAAACAAACCACACCATTTGACAAGTGCCGGAAGTGATCATGTGTGCAGTAAAATGGAAGATGGATTTAATTGCCTCAGGCTAAATAAGCATGTTGGCTCCTACACACATAAATACTAAGAAATTCTAATTTTGAGATTTTGAGGAAAAAGTCAGATTTTTGAGAAAAATACAGAATTCGAGATTTTGAGGAAAAAGTCAGAATTTGGAGATTTGGAGAAAAAGTCAGAATGTTAAGGTTTTGAGGAAAAAGTCAGAATTTTAAGGTTTGGAGAAAAAGTCAGAATTTGGAGATTTGGAGAAAAAGTCAGAATTTTAAGGTTTTGAGGAAAAGTCAGAATTTGGAGATTTGGAGAAAAAGTCAGAATTTGGAGATTTGGAGAAAAAGTCAGAATTTGGAGATTTGGAGAAAAAGTCAGAATTTGGAGATTTGGAGAAAAAGTCAGAATTTGGAGATTTGGAGAAAAAGTCAGAATTTAGAGATTTGGAGAAAAAGTCAGAATTTGAGAAAAAGACAGAATGCTATAATCAATGGTACTGATGGTAATAATGCAGCTTTGTTGCTTACTGGGTGTCTCTTGTGTCTCCAGGTGTTCCACAGTCTGTTCTGGCCTCTGGAGTTCACCGTGCCCAACAGAGACAACAACAAGTGCTACGCTAAGATCATCTGCAACAAGCTGGACAACGTGAGCTCCTCCCTGCTGTCACTCAGTCTGAATCCAACCTGTCAGAGAGTCACATGACTAACACATGTCTCGTTTTTAGGACCGTGTCATTGGCTTCCACTACCTGGGTCCGAACGCCGGAGAGGTGACGCAGGGCTTCGGTACGGCCATGAAGTGTGGAGCCACTAAAGAACAGCTGGACAACACCATCGGCATCCACCCAACCTGTGCCGAGGTGAGGAGGCATCTCTTTTATTTATATATATATATATATATATATATATATATATATATATAATAATTATCTTTATTTGTATAGCACTTTTCATACAACAAGTGTTTCAAGATTCAAGGCTTGCAATTGTACGAGGTGTTTTCAAGGTTTGAAAAGTGCTTGAATTTTGGGAATGGTGCTTGAATTTGGGATAAAGTGCTTGAAATTGTAAATGCTTTACTTCGCTTTTTAGATTAAAAGAAAATAAAGAAGTCGGAGCGCGCTTAATTGCTTCGCTTTTACATAAAACAGCTCCGCTCCGGCCATCCCGCGCAATGCGCGTGACCGGCAAGTGTTTTTGTTACGTGTGTGACCTGGGCATTCTGATGAGAGTGATAGATGACAGTATGCCAGGAGGTTGCCGTTTCAACGAGCGTTGGCTAGCAGAAGACAAATGCAAGCCATGGCTAAGACGAGGGTCAAGCGAAGCCCAAGAGTAGCCTCCTGCAAAGTGTGCAACAATAACGATGCGAGAGTCTGCGCTGACGCCACACACCACACGAAAGGTACGCCAGAGTAGAGCATTTTAGATTAGGCTATCGTTGCATGTAAAATACATGACACTTTTCTCTGTGCGCGGCAAAACAAGCTCGCCAAAATGGCTTCACTAGTCTGGCAGTATTTTAAGTGTCCGAAAATGACAATAAAATAGCGGTATGCAACGTGTGTGTGAAGCAGAAATCCTGCAGCTCCACCCGCTGTGACGGACCGGTGAGCGGAGCAGAACACACATTAAGAGTTAGACCTAACACACTTAGCTATTTTATCTACCTCTGGAACAAGCTAAACTAGTTATAAATATATTTATTCTTCACTGTCGGGTCGCTCATTACTGGATCAGTGAGCTGCAGGAGATACTGACGGGCTGTCAAGAGAGAGGGGGAGAGAGGAAAAGAGAGCGATATCGGTATCGGCCGATACTGATTCCGGCGATCAGCTCCAAAATTGGCGATCGGAGCATCCCTAATAATTGTATATGATATGTTTTATAATGATTGATCATGAAAGTGTTCTCAAAGCTGGTAAAGGTGCAGCTAGTTTGAATGACTTTGTATACTGCAGGGTAGCTTGTGAATTTACTCCAGGTGGAACTAAAGTCTGATTTAACACTTGATTATATTTCACATCATTCATCCACATCTGTAAAGTAACTAAAGGTATTAAATACATGTAGTGGAGTCAAAGTACACCATTTACCTCTGACTTATGTTTACTGCCAACCTAAAAGTACCTCAAAAATAGTAATCAATAATATATTGAAAAGTTATTTGGCTGATTGTTTTATATTGGCTCAGCCAGGTTATATGGGATGCCCAGTCTACGTACAGATGGGTCACTCATTTTGAAATATTAAACTTAGTTTTCTTTTCTAACATTTTTAATTTTTCATCCTCATGTAGAATGCTATTATGAAACACACATTTGGTTGTTTATAGCATAAAGAACATCTGATTTAATGTGAGGTAGGGAAATAATCATTTGAGTATAAGTATGTGTATATAAATATGTAATTTACAACAGCTGTAAGATGCTTGAAAATGCACCTTGAAAATGCTTGAAAAGTGCTTGAATTTGACTTTGGAAAAGGTGTAAGAACCCTGTGTCATGTGTGCATAGCTACAGTGTAGTTATGACAATGGAAATCTTAGGTCACAGGCTCCTCCAACAGTGCAACACAATAAAACAGATACAAATAGAATATGATAGAAACAGAATATGATAGAAACTGAATATAATAGAAACAGAATATGATAGAAACTGTGCAGAATAGTCTATATACAGTAATTGGAATATTGATATGATGTATGTGAGTTGCAAACAGATGAATGTTATGGATGTTCTTTCAAAAGGTCAGGTGTTTCACAGTCTTATGGCCGTCTAAAGTGCTTCACAGACATTTCACAGAATACAGCTACCTGTAAAAGACAAACAAAAATCAGCATAGATAAAAATACATTTAGATTTAAGGTACAACGATGAAATTGTGCATTAAAAGGAGGATAGTGCAAATTCAACACACTATCAGATGACAGGTTAAAATGCATCGTAGTGCATTGAGAGAGTGCAGGAGTTTGCTTCCTCAAAGGCTAACTGTACAAATGTGTTTTTTTTTTTTAAAACAATAATGTGTTTATATAGCTGTTATTTCTTGTATGTGCTTTTTGTGTCAAAATAGGACGTTTTCCACCGGTTTCTTCCTCTTTCATTCCTTCAGTTACTTCTTGAAAAAAGTTGTGATATGATATTTGAAACAGAAAGGGTTTTAGAGGGTTCATAAATGAAAATCAAATCTGATAAATAGCTAGGCCAAAGACCATTAAGGGCTTTACAAACCTACACATTTTACAGAATTTTGAGAAATAGTCAGAATTTTGAGATTTTGAGAAAAAAGTCAGAATTTTAAGGTTTTGAGGAAAAAGTCAGAGTTTTGAGAAAAAATTGGAGAAAAATACATAATTTTTGAGATTTGGAGGAAAAAGTCAGAATTTTAAGGATTTGAGCAAAATGCATCTACCGTCACACTTTGTCTTACTGGCCGCGGTACATTTCACAGAAGAACAAAACGTGGCTGGTTTTAACAGCGTGTTGGCTAATCAATAACAATGAGCAGGAACTCACAAAACGCTCCAGAGCAAAATACTTGTTAAACTCCTGCGGTGTACAGAAGTACTTTGTGTGCACTGCAGCATTTAAAAGATGTGCTCTCTGGTGCGAAAAAAACTAAAACAAAATTCTCGCTGCGGACACGGATTTGATCAGAATCCATAAAACTGTGCAGCTCAAAATAACTTGAATGTATTGAATTACCATGTCTGTATTTGTCATGTTGAGTGTCTATGCAGATAGTGAGCTGAATGAACTCGTAATGTGTGATGCATGCCATTAAAGATCTCCCTGTTCCTCCTTCATTATGTAAATGGTGTTAGGTGATAATTGCAGCTCATTAAGCTCTTACTCATCTCCTGTTTGATGTTTCCCATTTCTTTAATTTCCATTTCCAAACAGAATTCAGATCTTTATTTTTGAATGAATGCAGGACGCTGTTTATGTGACCAAGCTGTGCCCACGTCTAAGTTTAATAATCCATTAAGAGACTATAGTTTTAAACAACGGGCCGTGATGTCCAATCAGAAGCTCCAAAGGGTTGCAAAGTAGATTTTTATTTTCATTTTTTTTCCTTATTTGTCATATCTCAATTCTGATTTGGGATTGTTGGAGGAGCCTGGGACTTAAGTTTGTCATTGCCATATCTACACTGTAGCTGTGCACATGACAATAAAGCTTTGAGTCTTGAATGATGGCCACCCTAATTTGCTCAAGCCCCCAGGAAGTGCTCCGGACTCTGTTCCCACAATTCGGCATTATGAACGCGCATCTAACCCACGGGACGGCTTGATGTGAACGAGCCTTTTGGGGGGCGTGGTTAAAGTTGGGCATGCTCTATGAGCGCACATACGGGTACTTCTCAGGCATGATGGGTAATCTGTGACGTTTCGCTCTCTAAAGTTGAGCCATTTTGTCTTCATGCGCCAATGAGCAGCTCTCATAGGAAAGAACAAGACCCCACCTCGCTGTATCCAGTTCTTATTATACATCCATGAATTTGCTCCTGTGGGTATTGTCTAATATGTAATGTAAAGCGCTTTGAGCACTTGGAAAAGCGCTAGACTGTAACTTTTTTTCTTAATGTCTTTCATTTTTGTAAAGCACTTTGAATTGCCTTGTGTTGAACGGTGCTATATAAATACACTTGTAATGAATGAATTATTTACATCCTGCTCTTCCTCACGTTGTGTTTCTCCTCTTCCTCCTCCAGATCTTCACCACTCTGGAGGTGACGAAGAGCTCGGGTGGAGACATCACCAAGTCCGGCTGCTGAGGTTAAACCCTGCTCGTTTAGCGGGCTGCGCTCATGTTAGACTCCCCAAAACACCCCCCACTCTCTCATCTATCCCCCCTCAGACGCTCCCTTCAAAGAGCAGATGATCATCGGGACAAACCAGCGTCCATTTAGGAGCGAGAAGAGTGTGAAATGAGTCTGAATTACATGAGTCTGCAGCCTGCTGAACAGCGGGGTTACTCTGCTGATTTCTCCTGGGCTCCAACAGTCCTTCTCAGAGGAGCACCAACACACACACACACTCGATATGTGTGTGTGTGTGTGTGTTGGGGCTGTTTGTGACGTCCTGGCCCGTAACCTTGAATCTTCAGGTGGGCTAGGATCGATGTCCCTCTGCAGAAGCGAACTGTTTTGGCGTCCAAACCTTCGTCCAATCCCCCAAACTGCAAACACGCACACACACACATTCACTTTAGAAATACAGATTGAAACGGCACACAGGCGAGGTTTTAAAGGATGCTCGGCTCCAGCTTGAAAGCCTTTTATTTAACGCGTGTGTGGGTTGATTACGTCAGTTTTCCTCTGTTGAGCCAGCCATTATGTATTTGAGGGTGAAATGAGTCCATGTCGCGGTGTATATTTATCTGTTGTGTGTGTGGAGCATCTGCCTTTTAAAGAAATCTCTTCCAAAGTCTTCAGAGAGATCCTTTCAAACCTCGCTGCATCGCTGCCACACAAACACAACCCGAGATGTACTGAATGTTGTGTTTAAATATTAATAAGGAGGAAAAACATTTTCACAAGTTTCTACTGAGTTAATTTAATGCTCGTTTGTGGCGTCTTGCCTCTGCTTTATGCGTCTGTCGAGGATATATTCCATCTACAGTACTGCTGTCTCTGCGTGACTCTGGTCAGATTTATAAGTGACTTGTTCGTTGGCGTCAAAACCACTGTAGATTACTTCTTTCAAGATGTAATAAAGGATGAATACAACTTCTGTCTCGTGTCTTTTATTGTTCTTTAGTGTCTTCTTTAATGTTAGTTTTTGGTCTCTTTGAATTAATTGTGTCTCTTTGGGGCCATTTTGTGTATTTTATGTTTCTTTAGTGTCTCTTTGTAGTCATTGTCTGTCTTTTTGAGTCTGTCTCAAACTTTACAATACAAGACAGAATGATATGATGATCTCCGCGCTACAGCTGCTCCGTGCATGCATGCAGTGACATGTAATATCCAAGGATTAGAGACTGTTGGATGCTGCTGTTTTGAGCATTGCAATACATTTATTTTTCTTATGTTTTTTTATGATTAGAGACGGTTGGATGCTGCTGTACTGAGCATAGCAATATATTTATTTTCACTATGTTATTTATTTATGATTATCCTTGGGCTCAGCAAAGATTTGATGTCAGCTGTTGCTGTCTTTTTTTCTATAGTTAATACTGAAATAGAGCCCTGCTGTTTTGTCAGGGCCTTTTCTTTAAATATAATTTTAAAATGTCGATACAGTAGCCCTTTTTTTTAAATGTCTATGCTTAAGTTTTTGTGTTGCTATCTGCTTTGTGTAGCGTGGTTCTACAAGCAAGTCAGTGCATTCATTGGATGGTATCAGAGAGATACAAGGGTCTGTAAATGCAATGAAAACAATTGGCCACAGCAATACCCTACCTTTAACATCCCGATGGCAATGAATACATTAAATGTCATCTGTGGAAGCCGTAGTAGGCTACTGTAAAAAGCACAAAATGACTTCAAAGACACTATGAAGAGACAGACAATGACTACAAAGAGACACTAAAGAAACATAAAATATACAAAATGGCCCCAAAGAGACACAAAACGATTAAAAACCCAAGATGACAACAAATATACACACAACGACACAAAAGGACTACAAAAAGGCACAAAATGACTTCAAGACACAAAACGGAACAAATAAAAATGAAATGAAATTGTGACCAGCCTAAGAAACAGCTGTGCAATAATCATGTCTAATCAGCATCTTGATATGCCACACCTCTGAGGTGGAGGTGCTCACTAACACAGATTTAGACAATTTGATGAACAATATTTGAGAGAAATTGGCCTTTTTTGTCAATAGAAAAAAGTCTTACATCTTTGATTTCAGCTCGTGAAAAATGGGAGCAAAAACAAGTGTTGCGTTTATATTTTCGTTCAGTGTACTGTACTTTATTTGATCCATAATGTCTGATTTATTTTAAAACCACAGAGCTGATCAGAACCAGCAGCTTGTGATCTACATCAGAAAGCCTTTAAATACAATATTACATCTATAAATAAGAGCATCATTTCCTGTTTCTGTGAGCATCAATAGAGTCCGGCTGGTGTGAAGCCTTTGTTGGTTTTCAGGGACTCTCATCTGAAAACACTGTCACCTGCACGGCTGCCATGGCAACACTGGCTTTGATGGGTTTCATTTGGATGGAGCAGTATTTGATGGAGGACAATCTGTCATTGAGAGGAGATCATTCATTCACTGGTGTTGGTAATTCAAGAAGCGCATAAAAGACTGGCCTGTTCGAATATTAGTGAGGCTGAACTGCTGCCCACGCACTTTATCAAAACTTTATCAACACTTTATTGAAACTTTATTAACACCTTACTTACATTCACACGCAAGGAGGAAGGGTCTCTTCGTGGTCGTATTGTGACACTTTTTATTTGTTTTGTTTCGCAAACAGCACTGTTATTATCGTCTTGATAGTTTATTTTGTGTATTTTTAAGGTCGTTTTGTGTCTTACATGTTATTTTTGGGTGTCTTTGATGTAATTTAGCTTCTTTTTGTGATCACTTTGTGTCTCTTCGTAGTCATTCTGTGCCTCTTTATTAATTTTGTGTCGCTTTGAGGCCATTTTTTGTCTTGTATTGTTCATTAGTGTCTCTTTGTAGTCAATGTCTGGCTCTTCATGGTCATTTTGAGTCTCTTTGAAGTAATTTCGTGCCTTCATGTAGTTTTTGTGTATTTTTAAGGTTGTTTCGTGTCTCTTTTAGGTCCTTTTGTGTCTTTAATGTTAGTTTTGTGTCTCTCTGAGGCCATTTTGTGTATTTTATGGTTCTTTAGTGTCTCTTTGTAGTCATTGTCTGTCTCTTCAAAGTCATTTCGTGCCTTTTTGTAGTTATTTTGTCTTTTTATGGTCATTGTGTGTCTATGTGTTGTCATCTTGGGTTGTTTTTATGGTCGTCTTGTGTCTCTTTGTATTCAGTTTCTGTCTCTTCATGGTCTCAGGCCGGGCGACTATTTTTAGTTGTTTTCTATCTTATACAATAACTTGCATTAGTCTCTGCAGTCATTGTGTGTGTTTTTGTGGACAAAACGTCCCCTGAATGTCCAAATATGACCAAATCTTAGTTGAAGAAGTTGAGTTGCTACGTTTATAGACAATAGCTCAAACACATTTAAACAAATCTAACAAGGATCCAAATCTTAGCAAGACAGTAACAACATTTCCACTTTCTGAGAATATCTTGCAACAAACAACCAACTGTTGTAAAACCTGAATATTTGTACTCGATCCCCGTCCAATAAGGAAGTGATTTTAGAAACAGCTGAAGTGGAGCATTCAAACCACCGTGGACTTCAGACTGAACTCTTCCTGTATCATGTAACATAAATGTGCTTTATTTCATTGAAACTATATCTGTTTGCAGGAAACTAAAACCAGCGTAATGAGGTTTTGTTCACCAACACCATTAGACATGAGATACTGGTTTGTTTCTGTTGATTTTCAGTTTAATGGACAATGTAATTCAGGATTCCTGGAAAAGCTAGAAGTTTCCAGGAGGAACTGAAGCTGACACAACACAGTGTCATCTAATAGAGGTCAAAGGTCATCCCTGTCTCACCATGACTTGCTGTTTCTCTGTTGAACCCCAGCCTTACATAATCTGATCTCACATTATATCAGCGGCGCAGAATCACAATGAGCGGAAAATCCCCTCAAGACGAACTGATGGAGATGATTAACCGACAGGAAGTCTGCGAGTCTCACATGTGAAAAGCTGTGGTGGTTAACTATTAATGAGACATTGTTATCTGTCTTTATCAGACAGTCATTCAATTGTGAGTGGATTTACCTGGAAACCTTTCTTTGATTTACTGTAAGAAGCAACAGAGTGACGTGAGCTGGAGGCAAAACATAATACACTTTATGCATAAGGCACGTTTCAAGTACAGAGTATCAAAGTGCTTTATATATAAACAGAATTACATGAACTAAAAACCTTATAAAACACAGGAAGTAAAACCTACTAAAATATGTTTGCACATCTATAGAAAGTTTGAGGTTATCAGTTTTGTAAAGCAAGGTCAATAAAAACCTTTGAAACGTAAATGTTTGGCGGTCCATGTTTACATAAAAGCTGAGATACACTTAACTTTAAATTATCAAGTCTTTGGTAGAAAAAAAAGTTTTCTTCACAATTTCAACGTAATATTACAGGGTAAGTGATCGGTACAAATGATCATTTTGGGGGGCAAATATTCCCTTATTCCAGGGGTGTCAAACTCAAATACACAGTGGGCCAACATTAAAAAATGGGTACTAGTCGAGGGCCGGACTGGTTCAATGTTTATTGCAGAACTTATTGAAATTACTTATTGCACATATTAAACCTGGAACTAACAAAGCTTAAAGGGGACCTATCATGCTAAATGCACTTTTGTACGTCTTTTATACATGAATATGTGTCCCCGTTGTTCCAGGGAACTCACCAAGTGTCAGAAAACACAACCCTCTCTATTTTCCTCCATACCCAAATCTCTAAAAAAGGGGCTGCAACGGATCTGATAAAAACTGATCCAGATTTGAACACTGTCCTGACGTCAGGACAGTGGCGCTACGGCTATTGGGCCAACTCCACCAATCAGGAGGAGACAGCCATGGCCATTGCCGTTCAAAAGCGCTGGAGACGCTGTAGTACATATGCCAGGCCAGTAGATGGTGCTGTTCTCACTGAATCTGCCAAGAGCTAGAAATTGTCAAATTGAGCAAAATGAGGCATGGCTAAAATGCATGATCTGTTTGGTATTTTGAAAAAGTATAAATATGCCTTATATAGGTATGGTCCTACACTATATTATTCAAATATAGCATGATAGGTCCACTTTAAATTATTGCCTATAAAAACAACATTACACATTAAATAATCAGTTGCATTCATTTCTTATGGCTCTATCTGCAGCTTTTCCGGAGTCATTTCTTATGATTACATTTTTCCACAGGCCAACAACAGCTTCAAAAAAACTATTTCCCTCAAAGAGAAAACCAAACATGCCCTGTTGTCGCAAGAAAAAAAGTGCAGAAGGAAACATCCATGTAAACTCAGTTTGCTGCTCTGTGATGCTAGTTCAAGCCAGATACTTGGCATCTCATCTTGGGTGCAAGTTCATCAATGTTTGGGGTCAGGCTCTGAGCTGAGGAAATCCTCAGGATGGAGTGAAGGTGGGTGTGCAATATACCGGCGGGCCAGATTGAATAGTAATTAGAAACTAGAGAATGCAATTCCTGAAGAAATTGCTAGTGGGAATGCTTTATGCTGAAAAGCTGACGCTAAACTGCTATGCTGAAATGTAATGTGTAAGAAGAAAGTGAAGAATTTAGATTGAAATGATACATGAACGGCTTGAATGTGTGATGAGAGAAGAAAAGAGAGTAAAAAGGCTTGGAAAAGCAGCAGAATATTTGAACTGCAAACCTTTGAACTAACTTGATGGTGAATGACCTGTCGCCATGTCAACGGCATTTAAAGAAATCTGAAAACTGTCCCATAGATGTCTTCACGGCTGGACTGTTAGCACACATGTGAAGTTTGAGCACTTTTTGAACATTTTCATAGGAGTTATAGCGACATCGTCTTTTATGGCGAGGGATGCGTTTCCATGGAAACGGCATATGGTGAGATCTCAGATTTGGCGTAGAGCTGTTGAGGCATGGTCCGGTGATATACAAGTGAAGATTGGGGGACGATCGGACCG